CAAAACTAACAGTAACACTCTGGGAACAAACTATCAAAGACAAATCATATCTATCTACTTGGAAACAATTCGATGCTTCCCTTCCAGATAGAATACAAACATTGTCGTGTCTTGATAATTTGATTTTTATCAATTCTCCCACAAAATTGCATTCGCCATATAGTAATTCAAGTTCCAAATCACAATCGCCTACTTTCAAATCACAATCGCCTAGTTCCACACCACAATCGCCTAATTCCACTTCCAAATCGTTCTATCGTACTTGTGTGAGTGTCCACAGCAACGTCATCATCTACGAGTCTGCTCTCGATTTCTAAAACTTTCGTTTGAGAATAGATTCTCATTGGTAAAAAAGCATGGTCTTTGCATAAACTGTCTTTCACATGGACACCCGGTTAAAAACTGTAGAAGTAAACACAATTGCTCCATTTGGAAAAATAGACATCACACGCTACTGCACTTTATAGTTCCTATAGAGAATATGCATAGAATCAATACAAAAATCTGTATAAGTCGAAAGCTAATTTAATTTTCTTGCCGTAATATAGTAAAACTTATATGGCTTGATATCATAATTTCATCGTACAGTCCGAAGAAAAATAAATTTTGTCATTTTATGCGTATTTTTTCATATTTCAACCGCTGTAACTCAGCCAATCCTCAACCGATTTACCAAATATATACCTTGTTTCAAAAGAAAATTTGTACTCTTCGAAAGAAAAAAAGAGTAATATAAATCTGTTAAAAAGTAAATAAGTTATTCGAGTTTTAAATTGAAAATCCATGAAACCACGTTTTTCTCTATATTTACCGTTATAAAATTAATTTTCGAAGTGACCCAGAAAAACCAAAGGTATTTTCGTGGTCCAGAGACTCCAACTAAACAGAATTGGTACATTAGAATCCCTGAAAAATATTTGTTTGTTATTTTGTAGCACAGTGTTATTGTCGTTGTAGTCTATCCGGATCTGAGTAGTAATTTATCACACATAGATTTTGCTGACACCTCCAATAATAAAGATATAGACTTGTTATTGGGTGCAGATTTATACTCTAAAATTCTATCGGCAGAGTCGACTCACATTGTTTTGAATTCACTGGTGGCTCAGAAAATATATTCGGTTATATACTTACAGTACCGATTCCTAGTCAAATTGTATAGTTGACTTAACGAACAACTTTTAATTGTAGTTTATATATATCATATTGCAAATTCGCTATTTGTTGTTAATTTGTTGCTCAATAAAAACTGAACTACTATACCTATCGATGCATTTAATTCACAATGCAATTACTAACCCTAGTTTAAGTCGCGTACTAATTTAATATCGGTTGCCACGCAGCTAGGTGGGCGGCAATGTTTAAGTTCGATACATTGCTTACGGCAATGTATATGTTCGATACATTGTTTCCCCTTCTACAGCATTACAATTAACCACTTTAATTGGCCACTCTTCGGAGGCCAATGGGGAAATCTTCTCTGCATATCTTCCAGGAGCCTCATTCGCCCAGTTCGGATTGTAGGGGAGAGTTTCGATCTATTCTACTATTTCTCCTGGGAGCCACATTCGCTTTGTTCGGATGCAGAGATGCGCTTTCCAATGCTGTGGTCGTAGTTGTTGAACACGGCCTTGCTGTAGCTTTCTTGCCCATCGGAACTTCACTTGCAATCTCACTCTCGTCGGTTACACTTATTTTTTAATTCTCGTTTGTAAAACTTGCTATTCCGCTTTCGTAGAATAAACACTAGTTCTCTCGCTATCGTCGTTAACGCACGCTAAGGTAAAGTCTTGTTTCTAACGAAACCCATATACTTTACAATAAAGATTGAAAACATTTACAAAACTCTATTCGTTTTTCTTTTCTTTATTTTTTGGGTTTCACTGCTACACGGTATCACGCCAACATTTTGATCCGTTGGAGCCGGATACGATGAAGTTTTTTTTATGTCTATGATGAGGTGTTGTGTTTGATGAGGGGTGATGATGTTTTTCTCCTTTAAAATAGCGAAAAGTGCGAAATTGTTGGTAGATTATCCGACTTAATGGGATCAAAATGCAACAACAATGCTAGGAAATATCCGGCTCGAATGGATCGAAATGTTGGCGTGATATCGAGATGCAGTGAAACCCCAAAAATAAAAAAATAAAAGAAAAGAAAGGAAAAAAAAGAAAAAAACGAAAGAGTTTTTAAGTAAATATTTTCAATCTTTATTGTAAAGTAGGTGGGTTTCGTGAGAAACAAGAATTTACCTTAGCGTGCGTTAACTACGATAGCGAGGGAATAAATAGTGTGATAGACGAAAGCGCGAATTCACGTGTTTACTCTACGAAAGCGAAAAAGCAAGTTTTACAAACCAGAGTTAAAAAGCAAGTGTAGCCGACGAGAGTGAGATTGCAAGGGTTCAGAGGCTTCTTTCATATCTGAACACTTGCTTTCGTAGAGTAAACACTTGCATTCGCGCTTTCGTCTATCATACTACTTATTCTCTCGCTATAGTAGTTAACGCACGCTAAGGTAAATTCTTGTTTTTCACGAAACCCACCTACTTTACAATAAAGATTGAAAATATTTACTTAAAAACTCTTTCGTTTTTTTTTTCTTTTCTTTAGTTTTGTGGTTTCACTGCATCTCGGTATCATGCCAATAGTATTGATTAACCACTTTTTGGGCTGCTGATTTGGTTCTGTTTATCTTTTTACCTATTTCGGAATAGGATTTTCCCATTTCCTGGTTATTTATTATTATTTGTCGCTCTTCAATATTTAGTTCTTCTCTAGGCATTTAAAAAAAATTGCTTTCAACTGTAGCACTAAGCAAATACTTTTGGAAATGTGGAAAGCACCGTTATGCTGTGCAAAAATTTGAGTTGACACGATCGTGATTTTTTATGATTTGTTGAAACAAATAAATGAAATATTACTTTCCATTGTTTTAGTATGGGAATGAATACATAAAATAAAAATAATTGTTTTAAATTTTGTAAATTATTTTTTGAGTAATTACCATGACTTATGCTGTGCAAAAATTTGCTGGTTTGTGGGAACAAATAAATGAAATATTACTTTCCATTGTTAGTATAGGACTGAATACATAAAATAAAAATAATTCTTTTAAATTTTGTAAATTATTTTTTTGAGTAATTACCATGACTTATGCTGTGCAAAAATTTGAGTTAACACGATCTCGATTTTTTATGATTTGTTGGAACAAATAAATGAAATATAACTTTCCATTGTTAGTATAGGACTGAATACATAAAATAAAAATAATTGTTTTAAATTTTGTAAATTATTTTTTGAGTAATTACTGAATACTTTTTATTTGTATGGGGTACCATGACTTTTGCTGCTCACTGTATACAGTGCCTGTCACGTAATTAGCACACACGTGAAGGGAAAAGTGTTTTGATTTATCTTCGAATCGTTTGGAATATTTTTAAATTGTTATTTTTTTATTGAAAACGCTTATGTTTAAATAATTTTAAACATGTTTTATGCGTGTATTTTCAAAATTTTCCTAAATAATGGTAGTGCATATAAAATATAAAATGAGCTTAGTACGATCAGGGAAAATGTATTCCCTTAAATAATCTACATACAGAAAATAAAATTTGTTTTGTTTTTAGACTCAAAAACCGCTGAACAGATTTTACTATGATATTAACAACGCGCCATGCCATCAAATAGAGGTAACATGTCGTAGATAAACTGCTAAAATTCCGCTTGGATGTGGAGTTATGGCATCCAATGTAATCATGCCTCTGAGAGTATTACAGCTTCACACTTCAGAATATGTCGGAGTAACTTGGTTACCAAATCGCATCATCCCTATATAAATGGGTAAATGTACTCCCCAATGCGTTTTAAAAATTGGTTTATTCCAGTACTTCTTAATTGTAAAGCTAGCAAAAGGGAAACATGTCAAAATCGCTCTCACAGCACAAAATAATTTAAAAAGTTCGGAAACGTAAATCTAGCAATACTTCAAAATCAACATAACAGCCAATCGGATTAAAAAGTTCGGATTAAAACGTTTACAAAGAGAACGGCATTTTGCTTTGTGTTCTCTTAAATTTGCTTCAATGTTTTACCACTTTTGTGGTTTCAGGAACGGGTTTCAGGTAAAAAGTTGCAAAACTTGTAAAATTAGTAGATTCTTTTAGGTTCTGGAACGGAACTAATCTTTATATACAAAATTGAAACATTTTTGGTTATAGGTTCAGAACCCTTGAATAGTTTTTAATTGAAATTTTTTATTGTTGATGGTACGTCGTACCATCCCATGGAATTAAGATAGGCTAAATAAACTCCTCATTGATGTTGTGTTATAGAATCGAAAGTAACTCTGCTAATATACATTACTTATGTGTATATGATACTCAGATAATTACATATCCAATCCTAAAAGACAGGGAGTATAAAATGGTTCAGATGAAGAAATAACGATGATGCGTTTACGATAACTATTGTTGTGTAACGTACCGGGTACAAAAAACACTAAAATGCTTTTAGTGTAAGTGTTCCAATACGTAAACCTTAAAATATATTTTAATTTAGCCCAACGAATGTCGAAGTGTTCCACATCATCGTACCCTAAACAACTTTTCGAACCGCGGTCGGCACCAAAATTGTAGTGCACCGCGGCCCGTACTCTAAATATCATTGTGTTTCACGTAGCGAAACACTAAAAATCGTAGTGCTTCACTTGCTGAAACCCGTTGCTGCGAAGAGCAACGTGTTCGACTAAATAAACTACAAAATTTGCATTATAATTTTTTATTTCTATGACATCAAAATTTATACTAGTACAAACATTACTCATTTCACGACTCCACTGTATTCAATAGCAATAATGATTGACATAATACATAAAATTGGCAACGATATTTTTAATGTAAATATAGACCATTTTCAACTAGGTGCAGTTTTACGTCGTAAAATCTATAGAATTATTTTTGTATCAATTACTATTACTTTTATTTTATTGATAATAAGAAAATGGGAAACGAATGTTTGGCAAACGGTGGATTTATTAATGTTGTGAAAAGGAAGGATTCTATAAATAAGCTACGAAAGATCGGATTAAAAGAGCTACCACCACCTTACCCGAATGGTTGGTACAGCATTTTGGAATCATTTGAACTGAAGACAGGGGAAGCAAGAAATGTGTTTGCGCTTGGAGAGCACTTAGTCGTTTTTAGAACATTAAACTCATCAGTCTATGTATTGGATGCTTATTGTCCACATCTAGGTGCCAATATTGGAGCTGGAAGAGTAATTGGTGATACGATTGAATGTCCATTTCACAAGTGGCGCTTCCGCGGAACAGATGGTGCATGTGTTCATGTTCCATATAGTAGTTGCGGTAAGAATATATATATATATATATATATATAATAGTATAAATAATTTTCTCAAAGAACTTCTTGCATTTTCAATATTGGATTCGAGCTATGATTAATTACCAAAAATGCTAAATTTACCAAATATATGTTAATTTTTTAAATATTTCCCGAAGAGAATACTAAGAACCTCGATAACAACTGCAATGATAAAGATGAAGACATCACCAAGAAAATAAAATTCACCATTTTCGTAAAATTCCACAATATACATTGTATTTCATCAAATATAAAATTTAGAGCAATACTTGTGTGGTCTGAGTAAAACAGAAGCCCAATGAAAACGAATTTTTAAAAATGTACCTTACAACGAATTCCATGTCACAAACTGGCTGACTTCCAAAATGTTAATTGATTTGCATTCGGACAATGCATTGTTTTTCATAATGCAACAGTAGAGGAGACTGGGGCACCTTCGGCATCGGGGTACATTCGACAATGGCGTCTTCGATAAGAAGCTCTCATTGTACATCACTAGCTTTGATCCATAGGTATCGAATATTAAAATAAAGTTTGAAATCTCTAGTTTATAAGTATTTGTACAGACGTTTTGAAACATTTCCATTCCATTTCGTGTATAAAACATTTAACAGTATTATTATTAATACCAAAGCATAATTATAATATAAATAACTAAAAACATAATGTTTATAAAAGATTGTTAGAGAAAATTAAAAAACTATAGAAAGTACCTTCGGGGTATATTCGGCATTTTATATTATTTCCTTAAAATGTTTTTGAGTTTGGCTTTAAACATAGTCCTTTAATTTGTTTCCACATTACATATACAAGACCAAACGTGCTTGTAATGATCGAAATGCTATAGAAAAAGATATTTCTGATGGTGAGTGTGGCCTTGTTGCCTTAAAAGCCAAACATTAAGTCGAATATTAGGTTCGTTCCCGTACTTTTTGATAGTAAAGCTAGTAAAAGAGCGAACTATCAAAAATTACTCTCACATACAAGATTTGCGCAAAAAGTAAAGGAACGGAAAATAGTTAAAACATGAAGAAACGTCCAAATAAAAAATTTCATTTGCATAATTTATAGGAAAATATTATCGAATATTTGGAAGTGGAGTTTCCGACGACTCCAAGCCCGGAAAAGCTTACATGGTTGGACGCTCCCATAATGTTAATGCTATTGAAATTGGTAGATATTTTTATTGCATTGTTTTAGCGCACTAGAACAACAAGATATGGAAGAAGTAAAGTTTAGGGGCTCCACTCGGATCATTTTAAAATGATTACCGTTAATAGCCCTCCTTGGAGCTGATTACTGTGATATCCCGAGATATTGGCCTTGAAATTTCGGAACATATGCATGTTTCCAACCCAAGTCTTCATTCTATAGTATCTTCATCTGAATCTTCTGCCAGCCATTCATCTTCACTATCCTCCAAAAGAGAATAAAAAATCTTTTTGCCCATTTTTAAATTTCTTATTTGGTTTTATTTTCAAGCAAATGTGTGTGCGTGTATCCCTTTGGTTGAAGCGCTAACTTTCATATGCTTTATTTCGGACTGTATATCTCTGGCAATCAAATGTCAAATTCACAATTTACTACATTTACTATTTCGTGCTAGGCCAAATTGGTCTTGCAGAAAATAGGAGAAGAGAACGCCATTTTGGTTCTAACTCTCTTAAATTTAACTTCAATTTTTCCTACTTTTCGGCGTAAGGGAACGCTTTTCTAACAAAAATTCCAAAACTAGTACAATTTAGTACTATATTGCAGGTTTGGGAACACAGCTATTAAAACAAAAAAGAATATTGAATTTCAACCAGACTGATATCGGTGATAAATACCAGGCTATGACTTTGGTGCCGAATGGGCACAATCAAATACCGAAGCTATTTCCGGGTAGGGGCACATTCAGCGAATTTTTCTTTTTTTTAAATTCTAATAATTGTTAACTATTACTAATTTATTATATGTTTTTGGTACAAATTTTTATAATCAGAGGACTATAACCAGGCATGTGTACTGAGATATGTGCCCCAGTGTCCTCTAACAAATATTTAGATTGCATACTATTTCAAAATGTAGCTGCCACGTATTTGTACCGCAGTTCAAAAAGAAATCAGGCATTGGTTTTATTATTGATGCATTGTTATTTACGCACACAAATTGAAATATTCGAAGAAACGAATGTTAATGACATATTCGCAAAATTATAATTTCAGTAAAAATACTAATATGTGAAATAAATAAATGTATTCTTAAGGTTGTTCATTGAAAATATCTTTATTTTCTGTATTTCGTTACTCGAAATAGTCAGTTTTGCCCTACCAATGATGGATTTCTCAGACGATTTAGCCATCGGTTTCATTTCACCTATGGTGGAGGGTATGCAAAGTTCGGCCCGGTCGAGCTTAACGCTTTTCAACTTGTTAATAATTTTAAACAATAAGAAATTTTTTTCTTCATGAACATTCATGTAATGCGCAAGCACTACAAAATGCTCCCTTTAAAAATTGAATGTAACATTCGATATGAAATTTCTGCGAATTGACATTGGACAGATTGTAAAATTTTTAACAACTATAAGAGGCTGCCAGTAATTTATTTAATCTTCTTAAAAACTATTAATTATTAATTTATAGTTTATTCTGAGACTTGAAGTGGATTTTAGCGTAGAATATTTTATTCTTTGACATTATATACCTAAAATTAAGTTTCATGTTACTTTAATGCATTTTGTCGAAGAAATACTGGAAAATGTCTTTGAAAAAAAATATTAGAACATTTTGAATTTTTGATACAAAATGTATGACTATATATTCGATACATACATTATATATACAGATTTCTTTTGTTCAGTGACTTATGCTAAAAATTGATGGAGAATATGTTTGTCCTTTATGCTATCCTTCTAAAAGGACATCCTGTGGGAAAAATGGATAAAAACTAGTAATAAGTACGATATTAACCCTAAAATGAGATTTTCTTTTTTTAAGATTTTTGACGTTTAGGTTGATTTTTGAGTTTTAGTCTATTCTAAGACTTATAGTAAAACTTTATGTTAATAATTATTAACATTGACTTATGTTTCAATGTATCCTCCATATAACGATACCCCCTAGTATTCCGTATTTAAGGGATTTTGGAAAAGTTTCCAAACAAATTGACTGTAATTTGGTATTTTGTTTTATCATTGGCTGTCAAATCTCACTACTAAAAAATGTAAACATTGATCTCCGTTGTGTTATAGCCCCATATTTAGAGATTTTGAGAATTTCAATATTTTTCGGTATGTTCAAGGTCCTAACATAACATGGGTTATGTCCTAGAAGCCCCCATTAATTTTAAATATGTTGATTGCCATAAAATGTTTGGCCGGGTTTTCAAAAATATGGGGGCAATAAGAATTCTCAAGAAATTGAGGAGTGGCCAATACATCCATTTAAAGTCAATGTTCTGTGCGTTCCTTGTTTCGAAGGTGTGATTGGACATTACATATTCCAAAACAACGAGGGAACAACTATCACAGTCAAATCGGAGTAATAACGATTTGTTGTCTGCTTTTAAAGAATGCGACTTGGAGAATATGTGATTTTAACAAGACACCTGTCACATGACTCAAGCGAATATGACGTTATTATAGCCACTATGTAATGGAACCGTCCGCTTTGGAATATTTGAAGTTCAAGCTGTTTTCAATTTTGTTTTAATATAGCCCGAAAATAGCAGTACAGGCCAATAAAGATGGTTCAATTATTTAAATTTTTGCACCGCATTATCTTCCTTTTAGGGTTTTTTTTTTTTAAACTGTAGGTCCAAGTTTTAATGAATTACTTATACAACGGAGTTCGTACTAACTTTGTCATTCCATTGACGACACTTCGAAATATTTACCGGAGACTTAATATTCTTTAGGTAGATAGGTATATAAGCTCTACCTTATATATTAAAATTGGTTTAAAATGTTTCTTACAAAAAATAGGAGCCCATCACTGTAAATTTTTTTAGGATTTAAGACACGCTTTCTAGCGAGTTCGATCGGTCGATCTTAGGAAACAGCCCATGTGTAGACGTTTTGTATGGCCCTAGGAACATTTTGTAACCCATAGATGCAATTTGACATTTCTAAAACTTCGTTGGAAACAACTTTTTCATAGAAGATTTCATTTTTTACATAGCTCTCACACAAATGTCACCCTTTTATACCATATATAGGTCAATTGTTAGTGCAATAAAGTGTATTCTAGAGAGAATTTGTCATTTATATAACAAAGTCATATCCTTCGATATATAATGATAATCCATGAAATATGGTGAAAGTCAATTTCAAAAACCCATGCAAGGCCAGATGCAGAAATTTAAGAGTCTTGAAAAAAATATCCAAACAAATATACCAGAACAAGGAAATACAACAGAATTATCCGCGACCAACCAAAGCAATTGAACGAAATAAAACAACTTAATTTGGTGTTGTCTACTGTGCATATCATAGAGGACGTAGACATGGAAATGGAGGATATTGAAAAAAATACGAGTCAAATGTTTTTGATTTGATTAAAAAAATTGATGACCTTAGAGAAGAAGCCCAAACAGTCGAATTGAAACGAACTATGAATACTATGTCTTGATATAAACGTTGAATCGGTGTGTTTGGTCCATAATCTATTTCAAAAGATGGTTGATACCAATCCAAAATTATCAGAAGTTCAAAACCTGTATTATCTGAAAACGTAAACTGGTGGATAATATACTGAATCATCCAAATGTGACTAGTCCTTCACTATCGAACTTGAAACATTTATTGGACAACGTCAACGAAGGTATACACGCACTGCAACCAAGATGCGGTTCTAATTATAGCCCGTATAATTAAAAGAGAACTCGATAAGGAGGGGCTTCTGGTCTATGAACAAAAATTTAAAAAAATGGAATTCCTGGAACAACAATACTAAGTAATAGAAGCGTCATCTAGCAGAAACAACTCCAATACAACAATCGAAGTCAG